AAAAATGCTGTAAAAATGTATTTCTTTGCAGTTCCCTTACACGGTCTTTATTTTTATCGATTGAAAGGCGTTCCAAATATACATTTTTACGTCGTTGTGGTTTTGCTCCGAGAGTCAAGTAACGATCTTTTCTTGAACCACCATCATCCAAGAGACAGCAGTAACTAGTAACTTTTCTTCCACGTCATTTGTGTATATATGTGTGCTTACTCCAGTGCTGAAACGTGAATTGTTGTAGCGGAAAATAAGGTTATGAAAAGTTTGAGTGGTCAACATGGTGGAAATGTCACTAAAATATATGACGTAGTTTTAAAATGTTGATTTGTATTAAAGTATACAAATTTAGAAAACGTTTTTACCTCACTGATTTCAATGTTCATTTTGTTAACAAGTGAAAACAAGTTAAACTAGATAGATAGATAGAGTGAAAGCTCTGAGAGATAGAAAGAGAGTGTGCGAGAAAGGGTGAGATAAATCATTCTGAACACAAATATAATGTACAACAGTTCAGTTTTCTATGATCATCCTTTCACCAGTTTTCACTGACAGATCAGGCTATTAATTCTTATTACTTACATTGGCTGCTAAGTCCTCTTAAATGAGATAAATATTTCCCTTGCTGGTTTCAATTTACTCACTGAGAAAACTCAAATCAAATTAACTATCACTAACATTTCATACCAAAGATTAATTGTCTGAAATTTCACGATTTTTACACATCTGAAATTTTTGTATGTCATTTCTAAATTACAATAAATTTATATATATATTTTTGTACATTAGGTTTATAAAGTTGTCTTAAAATATAATTAGTTAGCTGTTGTTGCGGAAATGAAGTAGAACTTATCCAACTAAAGCCTTATATATCCTACTGATAAACTTATAACAATACGTTTTCAAAATTAAATAATAATAAACTGATCCTACAAAATTAAAGAAGACTAATTGTTTAAGAAAGTTTTAAGGAGTTATATGTGAAATCTATTCTGAAATCCTCTCTCATTGATTTCTGAAAATGTATTAACATTTGCGTTTGAAATGTTTGTAGCTGTAGTTCCTTTGTTGTTTATAATGGCATCGTTATTTTAAAATTCTCCTTACGTTAAACTTTCAAAAGCTACAAACGTGCGAATAATCGACAAAGAGAGTTTGTTTGTAGTTAAACACAAAACTATACAATGTGCTCTGTTCACCACGAGTATCGAAACCCGGTTTCTAGCGTTGTAAGGCCGCAGACATACCACTGTGCTACTGATGGGCAGCAGAGAGATAGAGAGAGATCTAATTTCATAGTTAGTTTGGTTTATTCTGTGAGCATAACAAATAAAATGATTTAACAGAAACTTACTAATAATATGTTTATCATATTTGTTTATTTTTTAAGTTAACGAGCAACCCATCTTGAGCTCATATTAAAATAACGAAACAATTGGTGTCTTTGTAATAGAAACAGACATCACATGAAACGACAAAAAAAAAGATTATGATTAACTACCAGTCGTTTCTGGTGCTACCGGCTAAAGAATCGGTTCATACTTTTTATTATTATAATAACTATTGTTTATGAAACCTTTATACTCACTGTAAGCAACGTATTATTTGAATTTACCCTTTATAAGCTGTTTCCTGTTTTCAACTTCATAGTTCTGTTTAAATAACTTATGCATGTTTCGCAAAACAGTATTGCTTTCTATTGAATTTCCGGAAACTTAATAGCATTTTGACGTAGCTTACTTTTGTTTATAAATCTACCCTGATGATTGTTCACTACAATAAAATATATTCAAAGATATCCTTCCATATTGCTAAGACACTCGTGTTTGCGTTTAACGTTTCGATAAAATTTATTTAAAGCTGTTCAGTTTGCTGAGGTACTCATGTTTGGGTTTAACGTTTCGATAAAGTACATTTAAATTTGCCCAGCCTTTCAAAACACTCATGGTTTTGTTTAACGTTTCGGTTGCGAAATGGCATTTATTGAACTCACAGTAAATAGCAGAGCTGATCAGCTGAAATGCTCAGTTGAGTTTGGAGAATCGATTTTTTTCTGTCGGTTTTATTATAATTAAAGTTGAAGTACACTTCAACAAGCTTCTTCTTATGTTCAGTGATACTAATTTTGATTGCCATAATAAATTTGTATCTTATGTTAAACAACTTTTTTCATTTGTTTTTTCGAGACTGTATTGTAAAAATAAAAGAAGCAACTCTTTATTATATCTAAATATATTTTTACAATAAAGCTGTAACGATCGGATATTAGTTGTTGTCACGGTTAGTGTCCTGTACGATACCCTAAGCCTAAATATTAATTAGCTATTTTTTATTATCAGATACTTATTAGTTTATATCACATGTTTTGACTGCCAAACTGCTATCATCAAGGAAGTCCCGGGAAGAACTATATGTGTTGACAGGAGCCGGTATATGAACATGAATTATTTTCGTTAGAAAAGAAGGTATGTTATTCCACACTAGTTAGCTAATCAATAATTAGGCTTAGGAAATCATATAGACTACTAACCATGAAAACGAACATTACGTCTTTTTAATTTTGCTTGCAACGTTTTTAAATTATTGCCATCAGACAGAGTATCTTATGAAACTAAAAAAATAAATCGTTAACTTGACTACCGGTTCCACTTCATTAACAAACACATTAATTAATTATCATTACTTTAACAAACTCCCTGTAACAATAAGACGAGCAATTAAAAACTTCAATGAAAAAAGAGCCACACGTGTGTTTCTTTAACAACGATATTCGAAATTACTCTTAATTAAGCTGAACCATGCCTGGGAAACTTTTGGCTTGAAGATGCTGGCCTAAACCGAAAGGATGACGCTATGTTTACATCATTAAAGTTATAGACTAATAAAGATAATTCAGTGACGTGAACGGCGGCCTGTGGTACATTAATGCTATCAAAACGTATTGATGCCCTTGATTTTTGTGTAGCGCACTATCTTAATATATGGACTCGGTCTATGCTCTGGTTAGTGTAAAGTTGTCAAGAGAGGTATCTTGCATCCCCTTACTTTGCTATCTTATATTCAACCGTACTCTCCTATGAGGATAAAGCTCAAGCTGACAACACCTCGTAAATCCTCATCAAGACCAGGATCTTTCACGTCACACAATTAGTCTTGCCAGTCTTTCCACTGAGGGTCTTATTATAGTGAAGAAAAGACTCGAATTGAATGAATTTACATATAAAATCAAAAGTCGTGTCACATTTGTTTGTTTGAACTGTAACTTTTAACGTTCTCAGTTTAGATCTTTGTTTTAATTTTCCTGATAACTGACCTAAGGTCAGATTTATAAGTCAAAGTAAATCACCTTGCCCAACATTGTATCTGTCCACACTAATCTGTAATGCTTTGTTTGTGGAGGTCAAAATGTTAGTATTAAGATATTCTGTATTATAAAGAACAAATTATTTACATCTTTAAAAGTCATTATGATTTCTTAGGCAGGAATTGTGACTGCGAGCAAGGATATCTTACTTACATTCTAGTTTTAGTAATTTTATAATTAAGTTTAAATAAAATTTAATGTTTAACTTTGTGAGTATTAATAATATGCAGAAGTGTCTGATTAGTTTAATGTAATAAACACAAGTTTAATGAAGTACTAACACTGCAAACACTTGTGTTTAAATCATCACAACTTATTTTCTGGTATTAGAATGGATAATGTACAAGTTTAATTTAAAAATAAAACAATTGTGGGCTAACAAAACAGAACACAAATATACCGGTTGATACATAATCCTTGTTGATCTTCGTACAATCTAAATACACACAATTAGTAAATTAAGGTATTTCGTAGCACAAGTTAAAAGTCAAACATTGCATAAAAATAATACTTAAAATATTTATTTCAGATGAAGAGTGACTCATTTCCATCATGTGATTGCTTCTGAACGGTTCAAACTGGAACTCGTCATAAAACTGTGACTACACAACACAAGAGTTACATTAACACAATTTTGAATTGAAAACAACACGTCATTTGTGATGTTAAAAATGCAAAAACTTGTGTGTTTTTACCGTTACATCAATCATTTGTGTTAAAGTACACACAAATCTGTGTTTTAAGAACACAATTGTTATTATTGTGTAATAACACAATGCTTGACGTAACTTACAACACAACTTTCTTTACAGTAAGTCATGGCCAGGTGGTTATGGCGCTCGACTCGCAATCTGCGGGTCGCGGGTTCAAATCCCCGTCACACCAAACATGCTCGCCGTTTCAGCCGTGGGGATGTTATAATATTGCGGTAAATCCTACTATTCGTTGGTAAAAGAGTAGCCCAAGAGTTGGCGGTGGGTGGTGATGACTAGCTACCTGCCTTCTAGTCTTACACCGCTAAAGTAGGGACGGCTAACGCAGATAACCCTCGTGTAGCTTTGCGCGAAATTCAAAACTGCCAACCAACTTTACAGTGAGCATTACTGGTATATTTTATAAAGTGATAATTTTTTGCTTCAACTGAACAACAAATATCATACCATGACAAACAGAACTGTAATGTAAAGCTACATCAGCTTCACTTCTTCACTTGGACATTTCGTTTTCTCTATAATAAGATAACTTAGAAAAACATGGATATATCATATTCAATTTAATAATATAGATGGTAAATATAGAAGCAAGTCAGATAACAAACTCCTTTATAAAATGCCTAGGCTCTTATAATATATCCAACCTAAGTCTGAAGTTGAAACATCCATCAATATCAAAGAGCTTATTTAAAGTAAAAATGTCTGCTTCAGTAGCCTAATATCAAATTATAGTCTTTGATATTTCTTTTCCTCAGATGATAGTCAGTGATAAGATCAGTGGCCACAAGCACACTTCCATGGTTCCTATCCTCTTACAGACACCGAGTTAATATAGAAAACGCACACTTTCTGGACAGGAACCACGTAATTTAAATTTTTCTTTTTAAAAAAAGAATGTTCATTTTCTCACTCACATATAGAACAAAACATAAATTACATGACATATCTTCGTGTACATGCCATTTTTTATTCGTTTGTGTTCACACCAGTAAGATACTACCTGACAGACATGTTATTTGAAATTGCTCTTTCTTTGATGTACAGTGAAACAAATATGAAGTCTTTGATGACACTTCCTGGGAGTAAACCTTCTGCTACTTAGACTGAAATAAAAAAAGAATGTCACAAATGACATTCCTTCTCTGAACCGAAACAGCTAAAGTATTGCTGGTGACACTACCTTGAAGTAATCTCGCTATAACTAAAGAAAGAAATATAGTCACTTGTCATTCTCTCGGGCTAACATTTACATCAAGAGCAAAATACATACAAAATTTGTAACGATATATTTTTAGATTAATGCTTTTCCAACCTAGACAGAAAGGAATATAAGGTTGCTGATGTCTTTTCCTTGCAGTAACCCTTGTACTTACACTAAAATAAATAACAACTCACAGATGTACCTCTTCTTCTGAGTGACTCTTCTTCGGCCTACACTGAAACAAATAAAAAGCTTTTAGCGACACTTTCTGGTATTGACACTTAAATGAAAAACAGACTATACAAAGACGGCAAAATAAAATTCAAATATTTATAAAGGTGCTAAAACTGAAATGAAATGAGAAAAGTATATTAAACGAAACTTAAAATGTTTGAATGTTAAGAAATACATTTTGATATGTAGATTAAAAATTGAAGTAAATAATAATATTGATCAAGTTGTAAAAATTAAAAATCATCACATGTTCCCTAAACCTAAAAAGAAAAAAATATCCCTATCTAAATAATCAGCCAAATGGGATTATGAGAAGTAAAAGTAAAATATAGGAAGTGGGAAAAAAGTTTTAAAGAAATTAGTTTAAATGTTACCAAGTTTTCAAAATCATATGATTGCCTCTGGTTCTTCCCCAGATAAAAACAACAACAAAAAAGAACTGCAACACACAAAACAATAGCGTGTGTATGTCTGTTTGTTTTAGATTCTTTTCAAACCATGTCACGTTCGCAAAAAGAATCAGTACACAAAAGGACATTACAATCGGAAACACAGGTGGCAGCACCTACTACTCGCTTATGGATTATCTGTCCTTGATCGATTAGGTAACATAACTCGAAACAATAAAGACATGCTATAAAATGTAGTTTTAACAATAACTTAATTTTAAAAACACAGAATGGATTAATGGAATAATTTAAAACCACAACACGTCTACTTATCTTTGAATTAAATAACTCTAAAATTACGATATCAAGTCAGTCAAAGAGAACGTTATTTATAGGTTCAAGCTATAGAAGAAAAAAAATAGTTTTTAATTCGGTAACCCTATCCTAAGACGTCACATTTTTAACTTCTATATAAACTAACCTTAGATTGGCATTATTACAATAATCTAATAGGAAGCTCAGTTAAAACTTTCGATTAACAACCAAAGAATAATATAGTGTAGTAAAATAGTATCTAGGAGACTGGGGGCTTCTTTCAATACATTCTGGATATTACTTCTAATCGCGAAACTTTAGAATACTATGTTTCATGCTTTTCAAAAATGATCTTCGAGTTGGTAGTTTCTACATATTACAAAACTAAGTAGCTACACACTTTGTCTATCTAAGTGTGTGTGATTTACACAATTATTTTATTTGAATAAAAAGTATATAATATAACCACCACCCTTCCCGCCCAATATAATTTTTCTGGTTTTAGAAGCACCTTAGATTTTTCGTTTGAGAACAAGTAGTTTCATTTTATTTACTTCATTCGAATAATAAAAAAGGCGCTAGTTTCTGGATCGAATCGCAAGATCACAGTTTCCAAAACACCGTTATTATTTAATACGTTCAGTTTATTTTGTCTTAGCCTAATGATATATTTGTTCACACAAGGGCGGAACATGGCTAGAGATCTTTTTTACTCAGTCTCTGGTTAATATACTCCTTTCCTGTTACTTCGCTGAATGGTGCTGGTTGTGTTGTATCTTTAAAGTAATATGACATTATTTTTATAGGCGTAGTTTTTTATTTTATACAGACCAGGTTTTTTTGTAAAGTATTTTAAAAAACAGTACTTTCAAATAAAGAATAATGAATAACGACAGAAAGAAATTAAAGAAACATTTCTTAAAATCGTTAAAATCTACAACACTTTTAAAAAATACTGAGTAACAACATGTAGAAATGAAAGAAGCATAAATAGAATAATCAATGCGCAATTTAACAGTACTCATGATTTTACTTAAAAAAGTTTTAACGCTTAAATGTGTTTCCAGGCAACAAACACTGCCAGTAAAGATTTACTGGTCATTATTTAAAGAACTGACCACTCTTGTAATAACTTCTCACGTTGTAATGACCACACTTTACAACTTTCGATAGGCGTAAATTAAATCATCACAAATTTACCGAGAGGGTTTTCAGGACTCAATATGCTTACAGCGTAGTTTTAATTTCAAAGGCACCGTCGTAAAGCTGTCATGTCAAAAGAACACAACTTTGCTGACTTTCCATAATCCATCTACCGTACCATTACCCATTTCAGTAGTCAATCGCGACCGTACTTGACCATATGTATTCATATGTAATAACGTGAATACCAGTTTCATTCTCCAGATGCTTAGGTTATGCGACGGTTGAATGTGAAGTATGACTGGACGCCTTATGTTAGTGAACCCTATTGGCCTCGTTACCTGAGTGTTGCGACTGTTTTATGGGACACGTGGACGCTAAGCAATATCAAAATGTAGTTCTTATGCAACTAGTCCCACTGAGATTTTGTATTCGTTGTGGTTTTCACGAGACTTACTTATTCCATATTCAAAATATATTTAATACAAAATACTCGACCCTGTATGTGACAATATTACAGAGAGTAATAAAGAGGGGTTGAACAAGCTGTGTGACGACATCACGTAAGTTAAGCCATCACAGAATGTATCGTGACCTTATGTCGGCTGTGATTGTCACGTAGCTTATTGATTTGGATATTAAAAGTATATTTTTAATATGATAATATACTTAATGCTGTATGTGATAATATTACAGAGTGTAACAAAGAACTAACGTAATGATATAACACAATGTAATGAAGAAGATATACAAGAATAGAAACGTTTTGTGACGATATGCTGAATACAATGAATACGGTTTAGATGGTAAAGCTATTGTTATCAAATAATGTAATGAAGAAGAATCATAGAGTTATAAAGGTGGTTATTGGTCGCAGGTTCAAATCCTATCACCGAAAATGCTTGCCATTTCAGCCGTGTGGGCGTTATAAAGTTGCGGTCAATCCCAAGATTCGATTAAAGGAGTGCAAGAGTTGGCGGTGGGTAGTGTTAACTAACTGCCTTCCGTTTAGCTTATCACTTTTAAATTATTGAAAGCTACATCAGATATCCGTAAAGTAGCTATGCGCAAAATTCAAGAAACAAGCAAACAAAACAGGGCTAGAAATGCCTTGTAACGATATCGCAGAGTACGATAAAGACCGTTTACAGGGTAAAGCATGGTGTGTAATGATGTCACTTAGTTATATCAACATATGTACGAGATATTACATATTACGTAACGATATGTTGTAGTGTGAAGAATAGAGTTTACAGGGTTAGATTTGCTGTGTGATGATACCAAATGGTGAGAAAAGAATGCTGTAGGGTTAAACATGCTTAATGGTGACACCATTCAATGTAATGAGCTGAGGTTACAATGTTATGCATTCTGAATTCCAATATGGCAAAAAATAAGGAAAATGGTTTACAGGGTTAATTATTCCAAGAAGAGATGTATATCGGATTAGACGTGCTGTATGACGATATTATGGAGTACAATGAAGAGAGCTTACAAGGTTTGGTATGACGTGTGACAGTTACGCAGAGTGCATTGGAGAGGGCGTAACGTTAAAATGCTGTTTGCCGGTATCACAGGATTTAATGAAGAGTGCTTGCGTGGTTACACTTGTTGTGTGACAATACCACAGAATACTGTGGTGAATGAAGGCTTACCAAGTTAGGCATACTGTGTGATAATACCACTGTGAATAATGAAGATTGTTTACAGAGTGTACTGTACAAGTATGGTGATTGGTAATAAAAAAATTTACAGGGTTGAACATACTGTGTGACAAATTCTTACAAAGTATTAAAGAGGAGTTATTGGTTTAATGAAAATTGAAACAATTTTATTTCATTGGTTGAATATGATTTATTTGCTCTTCGAAGTTATTCTGGTTTTTCCTTCTGCTGTTATACTTCCTTATGATTTACCCATTGATGATCTCTTTATCCTGAGAGTACTACACACTAAGGTATAAAATTATCATTTTCCTGGTGTGATGTAGAATTTGTCATTGTGATGATTTAAGTTCGAACCATCTTCTCTATATTTTGTTTGCAATGTACGTCTATCGTTAAACTTGTAAACTGTCATCATGGATGGCCTCTTTGTGATATGGGATAAAATGTACGGTAGAGACAGTGTATGAGGTGAAACCGAGGTCAAATCATGTGGTAAAAATGAGGAGAAATTAAATCCTGAACAAAGGGCTTTTGCCATAAATCATAACTCATAAGGGCTTTTGCCATAAATCATAACTCATATCTACATTTTTCATGAAGCCTCGGGGTCAAGAGGTTGAGTTGCAGCCAAGGTCTTCTTAGACTACATAAACTATTCAGCCTTTGTCGATTACTTCCAGATTAAAGAAGCAGTTGAGTTTTAGACTTGACCATCATGGTGATGAGATAACTAGAAGTTTCGAAACTTACTGGAGTGCTCTCTATAGGTTTCTGAGATGGTCCCAACCTCAGTAGTACCAAACAATACCTAGACAGTTTGAAGAATGCTCAGAAAATGTGGAACTTTATTAACAGTTACGTGTGCAGAGTGCTATACCCTTACAGTGAATGGTCACAGATATAGCCGGTCTTTCCCCGCATAGTGATAAAAGTTGTTGACATGTGGTGATCGTATCTGTGGCTTCACTATTTGAGCAAAATTTATTACTGATACATTAAATGAGCAGTGGATAACACCAGGAATGATACCCGTATATTAAAAAGTTAATTTTAACAGCCAGTTGTTTAATATGTTAAGTCTGGTATTGTTTTGCATTTCACTGTATCATTTTCATATTGATAATTTGGCTGAACAAGAGACTTAAACATATCTTACAAAGAATTATAAAAAACGACATTTACTATCCAGATATTTATAAGAGGACTTTTATTTTAACTGACCTTCCGTCTTTGCAGATTCTTCAGGACAAGTACATAAAACTAAACTCTGAAGAAGCAGCAAAGGCGAAACGTCGGATAAAATATAAGTTCTCTTATAATTATCTGGAATTTAAAAGTCGTTTTTTTCTATCTTTATTATCAAAATATCTTACAAAGTTTAAGAACATTACCAAACTGAGTAAAATGAATATCTGTCAGACACCATGATGGCATAATATATATAAATGGATAACAGTTCAGTGGTTGTTTGGCTAATCTTCT